ATAGGTAAATTTAAATAATTTCATTTATAAAATTAAAGATTTTATTTATATGGAAGTTAATTTCTATTTTATATCTTAAGTAAATAATAACGAACAATTATTTTCACTTATTTGGACAGAAATCGTCCAAATAAATGAAGATCGGACATTTATATCTGTCCGATTTTCCAAAAATCAATCCAATATCTGAATTCTCCTGTATGGGAATCGTATCAGAAATTAAACTAATAGAAATAATTACAATGTTTTATTAGCCGCATTTCGCAGGCTTTATATACGCTTGACAGAAACTTGAATACGGGTACAAATAGTAAATAAGGTGCCACATAGCGGTAAGTGCATGAACTATAATCCCAATTTATAAGGAGAAAAAAATAACTTGTGTGTTACTAAAGTTACATCGCAAATATATTATAATAAATGAATATCTGTAATAATATATTCTATATGTATTAGTAATATAACATTTGTTATATTGCTAAACGATTACAGTTGTTATATTTATGTTATGTATCACGAGTTATGTGTGTGTTATATTACCTTTTTAAAGAACTATTATGAGTTATATACGTAACGAAGAAATATAACTATGTTCTTCTAAAGTGCTTTCAAGATTATATAACACTTACATCTCGTCTATATAATCGTGAAACATAACATTGTTCTTTTTATGTGCTCCCTAGATTATGTAACAGTTACATATTGGTTTGCTGGGTAGTACATATTATATAACAATTTAACAATTTATCTGGAATAACTCCTTTCAGTCATGAAATATTAAAACTTGAATTTCCAAATCTTCTTCTTCTTCTTTCTTTTATGGCTGGTTGGGCATTAGTCGCCCATACACCATTGTTTCTTATGGGTTTGTCAAATATAAGCAAAATTCCTCTAAAGAGAGGAGGGAGTCCAAAAAACAGTTCCAAACAAAGGACATACGCAGCACGCAAAAACACATCCGAACCCGACACGTTGTCAGTCGGAACTCTGAATTTCCAAATTAACTACCAGACATGAAACAAATGTAACAAATGATTCCATAACACTAATAGTATTAATATATCGTTCTTTCATATTATCTTATAGTTTTTCCGTATTATACTATAGTTTTTCGTATTATGCTATATATAGCTTTAACATTGTAAAACTATCCGAGACAGCGAGCGATAAGCAGGTGTGCAGATCCACAGTGGCTCCGATAGATCCGCGACGTAGACGCCAAAAACATAAACAATCGATATCCAGACAGCACAAAACATCCTCAGAATCATCCTGAATATGTCCAGGATGGTTCAGGACATTTATAGGATGAAATGTCCCCTGGATAACCCCTGGATGTCTGTAGGATATCTGCCCTGTCTATTATATTGAATGTCCTTTGGATTTCCAGAGGACATATATATGTGCAATTAATTGTTAACATTAATTTCGTTTAATATTAATAATTGAATTTGATACGCACATTTTCATATATTCAAAATTATTATTTATTTAATATTTCATGAGAAATGTTACTGTGCGCAACATTTCAAAAACGTTACAAGAAATAGTATTCAGCCTTAGTTCGTTTGTTTACCGCTATGCGACGCGCGATCTCGTATTTAAGATTTGGTCTTGAGAATTATATAAAGCTTGTAAAGAACAACTAGCAGGAAATTAAAAGTGTAATTATTTTTTATCAGTTCAATTTCTGATACAATCTTAACATAGGGAATTCAGATATTGGATTGTTTAGAAAATATTACATGGCTCAAACCCGAAAGCCAAACCTAATATTCATGTAGACTATGAAAATCTCAAATATCAAAGAACGTAAACTATTTTCAGTATTACATTTTCAGTACTGGCAATAAATAACAGACCGCAATTTTCAGAATTTGCTCCCTGAAACGTACAAAAAATATCCCTGACATATCCCATAGAAATCCTTAGGATGTTGCACAGGATCTCCCTGGATTCTCCAGAGGCTAGTATTCGGCTATAATTTACTCTTCCTCAGGACATCCAGAGGAGATCCGAGGATTAAAATAGGATATCCTCAGGATATCCTACATGTATGTCCTGGATGCCCTTTGGACGTCCTAAGGATATCCTTGTGCTGTCTGGGTAAGGATTTACTGCTAATTGATAGGCAATACTTAAAAATATTTTCATCATAGATTTCCATAGAAGACCTTCACCTTAATGAATTTCCAGAACGCAAACTAACCGCATTTTCGGTGCAGAAATCCCGATTAATTCGGATTACATTTTTTTAATCCGTTTTAATCGACCATTTTCGGCAGGGATATGCTGTAGTTTGCTGGGTATGTAATCCATGATTCCATAAATGTAAGTTTTTTAAATTTATATATTGTTCGCAATTGTGTAGCTAATAAAGCTACTACCAAACATATTAATTCATAGTGTAGTGATAGTACATAGTATAGTAGTGCTTTCTTTATGGAAACGTTTTAAAATAATTTGTTTTTAATTAGTTATCATGATTTTTTTTTCTCAATAGTATATAAAATACAGATTTTCACCCTTGTCAGTCAGTCCCGCCGATCATTCCAACGCATAACTATGCGTATCTTTCATCTTCATTATTCAGTCAGTCAGTCAGTTAGATTCATAAGCTCAATCTGTCTCAACCCTGCGGAAAATATCCTTATCGATTGTTTATGTTTTTGGCATCTACGTCGCGGATCTACGCACCTGCTTATCGCTCGCTGTATCAGGTGTCGCGGATGGATCTTCTATACGCTTTTCTTTCATCTCGGATAGTTTTACAATGTTAAAGCTATAATATAATATAAAAACTATAGTATAATACGAAAAGCTATAATATAATATGGAAAAAGCTATGGTATAATATGAAAAACTATAGGATAATATGAGAAAGCTATATTAATGCTTATGAATATTAATTTATGGAATCACTTGTTAAATTTGTTTCAAATCTGGTAGTTGATTACAAGTTTTAGTATTCTATGACTAAAAGAAGCTATCGCGAATTATTGTTATACATGTACTATATATCCATGATCCCATAAATGTAGGTTTCTTAAATATTCTATGTACTATTCGCAATCGCATGGCTAAGGCTACTACCAAGCATATTAATTCATAGTGTAGTGATAGTACATAGTATAGTAGTGCTTTCTTTATGGAAACGTTTTAAAATAATTTGTTTTTAATTAGTTATCATGAAGTTATCAAATTATTGTTCTTTATGTTATAATTAAAATTTGGATAATATTAAAAGTTGATAATTTTATTAGTAAAAAGTGTAAGAAAAATGTTTTTAACAAATTATTATTGCGCGCATTTTACGATTCCATTAAGCCCGTATCAAACTACGCATAGAAGATTGAGATTCAAGATTCAAGATTGAAATTTGACCAATTAAGACAAAGGAATTTTATTCCCTTTTGTTCTGATTAGTCAAATTCCAATCTTTAATCTTCAATCTTCAATCTTCAATGCGTAGTCTGATACGGGCTTAAGGAGTAGTGCGCATATTCCTTGTTTTATTTATTTTAATCATATTCTTCGCGTTTACGCAAAAATACTTATTATATATTCGTATATATGATTGATTAAAATCTTAAAGATGAAGTATTAGTATTGCTGATTATGTTACAGTTTGATCGCGGGCTCGTTCTTAAAGTAACCGCTGGTCAGTTCTAGAAAGTTACTACTGCGCAGTTGCTTAGTTCTAAATAAAGCCTTCTGATTGGTCGGTCCAAGGAATCTGTAATTCCTTGCGCAATCGATTATTACTATTAAAAGATCTAAAATATAGTTAATTCCTTTATAATAATGTAAATCAATATAGCGATTTTATGTTCGATGCTCATTGGTTCAGACGGTCTACGTGCACATCGGCCCCCATTCCTCAACACTCGGTCTAGATATACTATGTCTACGTATACTACAGACACGATGCTTGTATGTGTAGTTACTCACACAGAGAGGCAACTACGATTTTCTTTCTCGTTTCCTTCCGACACTTTTCAGCCTGCTATTCCCCTTCCATTTATATATATTCTAAGGTCTTATGCTATGCATATGCAGGGCTGCGTTCGAGAATGGCTGCAGTCGGGAGACGCTAGAAATGCTTCGAAACGTTTGATTGACCAATCAGGACAAAAAGAGTAAAAATTTCTTTATTCTGATTGGTTAATGTAATGCTTCGAAGCATCTCTAGCGTCTTCCCGACCGCAGCCAATGTCACCTATGTGCACTGAACGTTGTTTTATCTTCGTTATTTACTGAAAGTTGAACAAAGATAGAACGACGCTCGTGTGCACACGGATGACGTTCTCGAACACACCCCAGCTATGCTAATTTGTGTGCGATAGGTAGAGCTAGGTTATATATACCTCTTGAATAATTTTTGAAAAAGTTTAGTTGAAATTTGAAAATGACTTTACGAAATAAAAAAGCTCGGAGAAATCTTGGATTTTATGTAAATAATTACAAATTTCGTCAACCATTTCAAATTCTTATTGATGGTACGTTTGCATTCGCGGCATTACAGGTTAGCTCCATATATATACACATTATAATATATATACAGTATCAAATTTTCAATTTTCTATTAAATTTCAATGTTAAATTTAAATTTATTTGTTATTTTTATAATTTGTATGCCTTATTTCTTTTCAGAACAAATTCAACATACAGGAGCAACTTAAAAAATACTTTCAGTCTGAATTAAAGCTATTGACAACACCATGTATCATTTCTGAAACTGAAAAACTTAACATTAATGGTGCCACACAAATAGTGAAACAATATGCTGTACATAAATGTGGACATGAAAAGAAATCAATAAGCGGTTCAAAATGTTTACTATCTATGATACGAAAAAATAATAGTTCAAGGTATACATTATATGAGTTTCATGTATTATATATATAATTAAATTAAATATATGAAGAATTAGATATATGTAATTAGGAGAAGTAACTAAAGTACTAAGAAGAGTATATTTTTTAATATATATATATATATAAAGTTGTTTATGAAATTATGTTACAGATATATTATTGCAACACAAGATCGAGAGCTTCAAGATAAGTTGAGGCTAATTCCAGGAGTTCCTTTAATTTATTTACATGGAAAAACGCCTACACTAGAATCTCCTTCGGAAGCAAGTCGTAAATGCGCAGAAGTTATGCAAAAAGATTTAGGTATGACTACTTGGCAAAAAGAAAATATAAAAGTATTACAAGAGCAAGTGGGAATAGTGCAAGAAAAATATGATAAATTAAAGAAAAGGAAGAAAATTGGAGGACCAAATCCACTTAGTTGTTTGAAAAAAAAGAAAAAACCAGAAATAATATCGAGCAAAAACGGTACAAAATCTGGTAAAATCAGAAAAAGAAAGATTAAAATAGCACCACACATTAAAGAGGCTTTAGTAACAGAATTGAAGAATAAACGTAGGGCATAGAACTGTATAGGAATCATGCAAATTTTGAACAATCCATGAATATAATATACAGGAAGTAAATATGTTAAAAAAAAAAAAAAATCATGTGATAATTGAAAAAAACAAGAAAAAAATACTTCATTATATACAAGATACAATATTTGTTGTATCTGTATGTTGATGTAAGAAAATAAAGCATTTATTTAAATTTGTTCTAAGTTAAAATATATATGTATATACCCTCTATCTGCATGTTATTATATAGATATATTTGCTAATGAATATTTTCAATATAATTAATTAATTAATATGCGTAGATTTTTAATGAATTTGAAAGAGATTTAAATACATTTCTTATAAACATGCCACAGACATGAAAGTTTAGAGAATTCCTGAAAGAATCTTCCTTGATTCTACAATATGCAGTAATAATATCAATAAAACTTTTTGTTACAGATAAGTAAGAGATGGTATTTGTATTTAACACATAATAATTTATGATGTGCTTGATTTTATTTCTCTTTAAAGAAAGAGTAACACAGTTCTAAAGTAATTTAAGATCGATATTATTTAATCATGAAAAAATACAATATAAAAAAAATTGAATAAAAAATAAATTCAATGTAGAGAGAAATGTACAATATCCTTTAGTAATTTAGTACATTGGACAATATTGTACAATATTGAGAATATACGCCATTCTCTCTTAAGATAATATCTGAATATATACATATAATTGATATAAATCTGGAATTAGGAACTTCCATATGTAGAGAGTACAAAATGTTGGAAAATAATCTTTTCAATGTAGATGGCACAGTATTATTTACAATCATTTTTTAAGAACTTTCAAACAGATTTTCAAAATCCTATATTTAATGCTATATTTTATATATAATATAGTATTATATATATTATACTATATTATATATGTAAGATTCTTTTTTTTGTAGTTATAAAAAAAGTGGCAGATTTACATTTTTGATTTTAAAATAATCATAAAAGTTTTTCTTGAAAAGGATTTAGTTTAAATTTATAACAAATATTTATGCACACACACACACACACACACACACACACACACACACACACACACACACACACACACACACACACACACACACACACACACACACACACACACACACACACACACACACACACACACACACACACACACACACACACACACACACACACACACACACACACACACACACACACACACACACACACCCATCCAAGGTCAAACCAATGACACCATTTTATGTTCCCCTCAAAACCATACAATTTTTGTTCAAAACGTTTTTCTCTAAAATGCTTAGTTTTTGAAAGAAAAGGGGTATACGGGTGGTCTAGGACATCCTGTATATATAGCCACTTTTATCTTTTAAATTAAAAGAGATAGACCGTAACAAATATATATCAAATTAAATGGTTCAAACTGAACTCTATTGTGAGTATAATGGTTGCTTTCAAAAGCTATCTGTGTTAGCGAACGGAGAGGTATGCATAATTTTTTTTCTGTCTTCTGACTCATGCAATAGAGATTGACATATGTCACGTTGTCATTTGATCATGATATTTAATCCGAAGTTGGCCATATCGCAGGGACGAAAATGAAATGGTAGGCGTCGCCCGCGATATTTCAAGTTGATAAAACACATATAATATATAAAATATTTCCATTATATCATACATCGTTGTATTCGTTTCAAACAGTGCTACAACTTTTATCATATCGAAATATTCATATTATTATAAAAAAATTATGTATACCTATCCGTTCGTTAACACAGATAGCTTTTGAAAGCAACATATATATTATATCCTTGAATATCATTTCTTGGATTGTAATGTGTTCACTTTTCTTCTCTCAACTCGAACATTTATATTATTTTATTAAATAAAATTGTTTAACATATTAACAACTGCTGATGTAGTACTATCTATGTAATATATCAACGATCGTTAATGTGTTAAATAATCATTCAACAAAATAATATAAATGTTTGAGTTAACAGAAAAAAACTGAACATATTACAATCTAACAATGATATGCAAGTATTGATATATTAAGAGTCTTGAAGTTCAAAATTCTTTCATTACTTTATTTACAGATAGATCTGCCACTGTAATTAATATAATGTAATATTTTTATTAGACATAAATATTTGAATTGAATTAAATATAAGTAAAACAAATCCAATTTTATCATTCAATTGAATATAATTATTATTATACTTATACTTATTTCAATATACACTTTTTCTAATTCACAAATTGTTAGTCACAAAAATATAGAATCTTTTAGATAAAAGATTGTGTTTATAAAGGACTATTAAACAAAAGATTCTTTTAAAGTCAGATATTTTAATTAAAAATTTTTAAACCATATTTTCATAAGTATGAAATCCATGCGTTATATTTAAGGTCGGAATTTATGAAATATGAAGAAATATTCTTTATATTTAATTTCTTTTACTGTCAGCTAGCTTACAAGTGAAAATTCATTTTTATAGTCATTACACATCATCGATATAGCATCCTTCATGCAGAGTTTAATCAGAACAAAAAAATATTTTTCTTTCATCAACATTAATACTGAATATTTTCTAGTATTAATCTATCGTCAAATCAACAATATTTTACATTCAACTTAAAACATTTCTTTTTTTATATTTTCGCTCCTAGAATTAAATTAAGCAGTTTATGTAAAAACTTTAAAAAAAATTTTCATTGTGAAGTATTTAAACAGATAAAAATGAATAACATAATTTATCGCACATATTAAAGATATATAAACGTTGTAAATAAAATTAAATCGGATTTAAATGTATTTTGGTAAAGTATAGCACGAACGCTAATAAATTCATTTTTTAGAATATTTGTTCCACATTTTATATAAATCACTGCCAGTCCTAAACATGACTTCTGTAAATATTGCTTTTTAGACAAAAGTAGTCTTTAAACAGAACGTACAAAATCTTATGTTGTATATTTAAATAATCTCACAAATGTGGCGGTCAAGGATGCTGATTTAATAGTGCACGCGCAGCCATAGCGAGCATTTTCATGCGACGCGTTGATCGATGATTCGGATTATTTGCTACAAACGCAGCCAATTGATTTTGCAGAGTTATTAGCACAGTGCCCATATGTTCTCGTGTTACAGGATCATTTGGATCTAAATTTAATATTGCTTCTTCTAGCCACCTGTATGTATAATATATAAAAATATGATTCTTGTTTATAATATATTTTGTAATTTTGCAAATAAGACAAAAATTATTCCTTTTTATATCATAATATATATAATCTGTACAATTTGAATTAAAGAAAAATAATTACCTGTGTTTCAGTTCTGTACGATGTCCTAAATCAGCAGATAACTGCTGTACGAGCGAAAGAATCACAGGTTGCTGCAAGATGCATCTAAAACCTTGGCCTTGAACTCCTGCACACGAAAATACTCTCGAAGGCTCCGTTTTTTCACACACTAATACTACTAATCCTAAATCGCTTGCACTTAAAGCCTGTTGGAAAGCAGCATTTAATTGACCTCTTTGAAGAAGAGACATGACACGTGCTTGAGTATCAGCTACAGCAGCTACAGGTATAGCAGGTGTTGTAGCTCTTGATCTGCAAGTTTAGAGAAACATGTAATTAAATTTTTATCTGCATTTAGTAATTTTAAACTTCAAATTTGCGACATATTTCTTACCGCGCACTAGAAATTTCTGTAAGCTGCTGACTCAGATTCTCCCGTATGGAATCACGAATTGCTCGAATGGTACTATCTTGTGTTGTCGTCAAAATTTTATTCAGTTCAGTCTGTAATTCTTCACGTACTGATGTTGATAACGCTTCACTTAATTGTTCATTACGACGCTGACATTGCTTATCGACGATGGCGTCGACATGTTGTAGATCTATATAAAGAGATATTATATATATATATATATTTACATAATACACTCTCTGAAGAAACAATTATTCTCATAATAATGATGAAATACATGTAGGCTACTTACATTCGTGAGTACCTTTAACAAAGACATCTTGAATTTGTTTAAACATAACTTGGCAAATGTTTTCCATGCCAGGTAAAATTAAACTTGTGAATATTTCTTTAAAGGCAGCGTCCAAAGCAGGCTTAGCTGCATTTGCAGCTGTCAGAGCTAAGGCATCCTTTACACGTGCACTGTTTATTAATTCAGTTATATTCTTCTGGAAGAGTTCATCCATTTGATTTGCATCTAATCTCATTTGATGCTTCAAAGGCATTATCGTTTCTTCAATTGTATGTGGCAAGATACTTTCAATCTTATCTTTGATCGTTGTTTCGAATGTGTTTAGAAATTCATGTTGACGAGCCATTTGACTGTACAAAGTTTGTTCCAGATTCGCATTTTGCTGCTGAGATATTCTCGCCAATGCGGATTCTATTCGTGTGGATGCCGGCGATTCTTCTCGTAATCTGCTCACCTCTGCTCGCAATTCTTTTATCTCTTGGCACTGGTCTTGAATTATCTCTAAAATAGATTTCAATTTGTTGTTCAATTCAACATTATTGATATCACTGCTTGGTCGCCACGATGTTCCAGTATCGTCAATTGAAAGGGACATCGCTTTCGGTTCATCTTTCGTCTTTTGCCTTTGTAGATTATTCTCATCGGAAAATTCCTCCGATTCTTGCATCGCGTGTACATTTACATCTTTGAGCAAGACCATTGGAATATTAGACCAATCTTCGTCGTTTGTTTTTGTTTCCGATTTATTATCAATTTCAGTTTCTTCGTCTGGTTTAGTAAGAGACAAAATTTCTCTTACTTCTCTTGAAGGACTGCTACCGCAACTGGCAGGGGCTTGCTCCTCCATCTCGCTTTTTGCGAGTGGCGGATCAGACACATTCAAAGCTTGCACTGCCTGTGCAAGAGAAGGGCTGCCGGATAAAACTTTCCCTAATTCTGGACTTCCGGAATTAGACTCTAATTCATTATTCTCTTTTTTTGCAGGTGAACTAAATGCATCAGGTGTCATTAGATTTAAGCCACTAGTATTATGATTAATCGTTGTTTCAATCGTAGCGGATAAAGAGCGCTCTCTTTCACAATTCTCACCGGAAATGCCATTGTGAGTGACAGTTGCCATATCTGGCAAATCTTCGGAATAATCTAACGAATCATGAGTAAGTGTATCTATAAGATAATTGCCACTTGCTTGTGAGGCAGGTTTGAAGGCAATGTGACACTCTTGTAAAGACTTTGGTTGAACCAGATACATAGAAATGACAAGTTGTTCATCGCTTTCTTCGATCTCTTCACATGTACATAGATCTTCCAATGATTCGCCAGTCGATCGAATCTTACGTTGATCGGCATCAACGATTCCAAAACTTAGAATTGGATATGGCAGGAGAAACTCTGATACTGTACTTATGCATGCCAATGCTTCACCTTTGTCTTTTGAAAGACTTAATATATATAAAATTTTATTATAAATATCCGATAGGAATAGATATCCAGCACTAAGATCTAAGCCTGCTTTCAGCACTGGCATTTTACCAGTAGAAGGATTTGGAGCAAACTTGATCGTTTGTAAACAAGTCCACAGTTCGCACGACCATACTTTCAGTTCTGAATTATTGTCACACCCTGTCACAGCAAACCTCCAAAACTGAACACTAAGAAATAAATAATAACCCCTTATGAGTCTATTTAATGCATATCAAACTTAATTAATATTTTTAAGATACTCACTCGGGTTGATAATTTTTATGATCATCAAGAAAAAATAGGCAGGAGATAGGTCGTCCCCCATGAGGTTTCCATTGATGTAAGCACCGTGGTTGTGGTTGACCATTATGTGAAGTATTATGTAGGAAGACTTGGAAGAATTTTATCTCTCCATCTGTACTAGCTGTTGCTAATGCAGTACCATCTGGACTAAGCGTTGCTTCAACAATTGTTCCTGAATGTTGATCAATTTCCATCATTCCTCCACTTTCTTTAACAGCAGGATTTGTTACCTATGATAGAAGAAAGAGGATAAAAATATTATCCAATTATATATTTTCACTTAAAGCTATAGTCAAATTGTATGCTTAAATATACCTCTATTGATCTAAATCTTGATGCCACTGTTGCAACTGACCATAATTCAACTTTAGAACCACGAGTGAGAACTAACAATTTTGATACTTCATCTCCATCAGAAGCATCATCCTCTGGAATGTATGGGCACCAGATTACTCGATGACTAGTTGGAGAAACATCTTCCGCATCTACTTGTAATACTAAACTGCACAATAATTCAGATGGTGTTGGTTCAATTGTATGTATAAAAAGAGATCCTGTATAATCGATACATGCAAGAATTGCATTTGAAACATGGGCAAATGCAAGATCTTGAATAGAACCACGCATTCCTCGCAGCAGAGCTCTATGTTCCAACTCCTTGTAAACAACACGAACTAACCCACCACCGGTACCAACTAAAAGATAGAAAAAAGTTTATCTAAGTAGAAGTATAATAACCTAAATCTAATTATATTTTTTCTAGATATAAATATTTATTTGAAGAACCAACTTTAATAATTAAAACACAATCGTATATAAAATAAAGCAGGAAATATTTTGATTACATTTGCAGAAACATTACATACGGCAAATCAACAATTCTATTAAATGTTACCTTTTATGCCATAGGCTAAATATTTTCCAGATACATGAACAGCCAACAATTGGCCGGTGTAAAGATGATGATCCCATGTAAAGTCAACAATATTTTTCAACTTTACTTTTGAGCTACCATGATCATGATCACCGGGAGAAGGGATAATAGTTACATTTGTGCTACATAATTCTACCGAATGTTGATCTTCTCGTCCGTTGAACTCCCTACAGAAATAGAATACTATATATAAGTCTCTTTATACAAAATAAAATCATTCTACATGTTACAATTATTTTTTTCCTCTTAAATATAAAGAAAAGAAAATCAAATATAAATACAAAGAATACATAATGAAAGAATATGCTGTGATAAGCATTCACATAGAAATTTGAGACAATTGAATACAATAGTTGATACAATACTTCAGATAAGAGCCATAAAACACCATGGTACATACAATTTATCACTCAAGATGCAATATATTTCAATTTCCCATATAAAATATTATAAAAAAGATGATTTAGAAATAAATGTAAAAGTTTATAACACTAAGCAGAGATTAGACAGATGCAAATTAGGAAATAATTATAACTTTTTTTGCAGTATAGCAAACATTGGACTTTCAAAATTTTGTAAATAATCTTCTTATATTTCTACGAGAGCTGGATAAAAGAGATATAGCAATTGCAATAATGTCTGCATTCGGTTTTGCTATTTACTGGCATAAAACCTATGTATGTAACATGATTTCTAAAGCGTGTTTGATCTTTTGGAGATGCTTACACTGTCTGCTGATAGTGGAGATGCCTTAAATTGCCCTCCCCGGTTTTGCTCATATTGCCAGTTGCGTTCCTGCAAAATAGCAAATTTACGAAATCTTAGATTATACGCGCCCGGCTCGTCCAAGCGATTCCTAACCTTAACCGGTGTAATTGGTACATGTAACATGTAACATCCCCCCCCCCCCAAGCGAGATACGATGTTACAAGATCGCTCTCATACGTATACTCGAATACGCACCTCTCAGGCATAAATGCCGCCGTATCGCTTGTTCAGGACGAAGGATTAATCAATGAATAGTCGTGCGTTCATCACCGGCACGTCGTCGAAATGATATTAGTACGAACGTAAAGTCAATTTGATGAATTTCAACGATAGGCGACCCTCACCTACATGTCAGTAATAAGACTTAAGGGTGAGTATGAGTATTCTGCAATTTTCGTTACGCTCGCGATTGGTTCCCTTCTCGTTCCGCGTTAGAGAGAATTCACACCTTGGCAGAAAGGCAGAAAGGCAGAAAGCAGAAGCCAATCAGAACTCGCGCCAGAAAAGCAAAAGCCAATCAGAACACGCGCTGTAAGCAGTACATTCTGCCAAGGTGTGAATTCTCCTTCACGCTAATCCGCGTTTCCGCGCTTCATGTAATGGCATCCTGATGGTGCGGTCCTTCTTCTTCTTTCTTTTATGGCTGGTTGGGAATTAGTCGCCCATACACCATTGTTTCTTATGGGTTTGTAAAATATAAGCAAAACTCCTCTCAAGAGAGGAGGGAGTCCAAAAAAAGGTCCAGACAAAGGACATACGCAGCACGCAAAAAAACACGTTCGAACCCGACACGTTGTCAGTCGGAACTTTGATGGTGCGGTCCCATGGTACCACCTTAGAACATATATAAATGAAAGGGGAATAGCAGGCTGAAAAGTGTCGGAAGGAAGTGAGAAAGAAAATGTAGTTGCCTCTCTCTTGGGAGTAACTACACATACAAGCATCGTGTCTGTAGTATACATACCTTTGTGTACACACACATGGCCGTGCATGCGCACTTTTGAGCAGAGTTACTCACAAGAGAGAGGCAACTATGATTTTCTTTCTTACTTCCTTCCGACATATTTTTCTATCGGGAAACAAAGGCATGCCCCTTCTATTTATATATGTTCTAAGGGTACCACTAATCTATATATCTGGATTGCTGACATGCCTCCTGGCGATGTACCCAATTGAAGGTCCGCCATTTTACACGCCCGAGGTGCGCACATGCGTGGTGGTCATAGACATATAGAATGGACTTAGCGTTGCAATAGACAAACGCGCGCTCGCCGTAGAAAGAGAGATACTATGGGTGTGTTCCCTTTTTGCCGGCGTTACAACCATCCATGACGTCATAACAGTTCACTGCCGCAACGTTCCGAAATTACTTTGGCACTGTCAGTAGCATTATGATTTTATATTTCGGAACGACTTTGCAGTAATTATAGTGCAGTGAAACAAAATATTGTTTCCTAAATGTTAAAATGATTTTTCTAAACTTCCCCAAACAATTCCCAAATTATATAATATAAAATAATTAGAAAATATTTAATTTCTCTGCTAACTCTACGGCGGTGGTTTAGTCAAACTCATTTGAATTTCCCATGCTCGCAGGCAAATTACCGGGTAAGATGGCGGCGTCCATTTGGGGATGTTTTTGAGTCTTATTAAGAACAAAGGCAATCGGCAATCCAGATATATAGATCAGTGGTTTTCTTTCACCTCTATTTTCTGTTGACCACCCTGCTAATTTTAACCGTCGGTTCATCTCATAGACTACGTTTACACGTCACCCCTAATCGGGTTTAATAACATCCGTAGTTTGAAGGCTGGCCAATCACAGTCATTCCATTCTTCAGAGGAATAGCTGTGATTGGCTAGTTTCACAACTACGGATGTTATTAAACCCGATTAAGGGTGCCGTGTAACAGAGCTCATAGACTATTCGATGCAGAATCGTTAGGTGGTCACAAATCCTTTATTTACAATGTTTGGTGGTCCATAATTTATCCAAAAAGTAAAAAAAAACCATGTGCGGTTAGTGGCTAACTGGAAGCTGTAAAGTTAGCCGACAAATATATTATTTACCAACCAATTTGGTTCAAATTGGTCTTAATTGAAAGACAATCGTTTGGTGGTGATTGGTAGTCTAATTACAACGTTTGGTAGTTAATTATTAGGCTACTACAATTATAAAACCTTGTGCGCTGATCCTGCGTCTGCGCGTGCCTTCGTCGTGTAATGGCTCTCGCAGCCAGCGCGTTGACGCGACGCGCGATATCCAATGAGAGCTCTGATTTTTGGAAAAAATAAAGCTCTCATTGAATATCTTGAATCTGCAAGAGCCATAATACTGATATTACATTCAGACAAAATGTTTGTGGATTGGCAATCAGATGGAGAATGCGTAGTCTGATACGGGCTTTATTATTATGCACTTATGCAAAAGTGTGTGCTCCTCGCTTAAATACATAACACATACGTCCCATAAATAATATGTACGGATAGAGTCTCTATCGAGATTCTCCGAATTCTCCATCTGATTGCCAATCCACAAACATTTTGTCTGAATGTAATATCAGCATTATGGCTCTTGCAGATCAGCGCGATGACGCGACGCGCGATATTCAATGAAAGCTTTATTTTTTCGGAAAAGCAGAGCTCTCATTGGATATCGCCCATCGCTCATTGCTCATCGCGTCCAGTGTGCGAGGGCCATCAGTCGTTATGGTTATTAATTCTGATTTATTTTTTAATCTTATTTTTTTATTATTAATCTTATTAATCTTATTAATCTTAACATAACATTCGCACGTATCTCGTAAACGGTTCATTTGCGGACCCATGTTTACTGAGACTTTTTTGCTTCTATTAGTGTGTACATTTCATCATTACATTTTATACCATCACTTCTGAATGACTCTGTATATAAAAGAGAAATATATGAAATATATTTTCTCTCAATTTGCGATTCTATACTCCATCCAGTGAGAGAATAACCACGGTTTGCGCATAGATGAGCAAAGTGAGGAGAGCGTGGCGCGCTACTCGGTACTGTATATGTAAATACAGCACGCTCGGGCCCAATTATAATTTCAATGTAATATAAAAAATCGAGATCGTTGTAATATATTTAAATTACACAGCTGAATGTTTATGATTTACGAGATAATTAATAATAATAACATTTTTATTAGAGATCGTTCATGTTGTGGAGAATTTTAGATTTTGGGGGATTTTGTGATTACTTTACTGGCAGAAAACAAAAAAGAAAGCAGTACGGCGACGTAAAGGGGGACTTTTTAGGCGTTTCGACAGAGACCTGTAGCGAGATTCTTTAATGTCTTAGCGGCGATCATTGTTGTCGTTAGCGAACGATAGCCTATGAAAGTTGCGCTTTTCACCAGGATTGCTCTTGCCATTGGCTGTCGCTAATTATAACGATACCGAAAACTGTCGATAGCAAGTTACTGAATCCCGCCACTGCCCGAAACGGACGAGTTTTCGTCCGATCCATAGTTATTCTCTCGCTGGACGGAGTATATGCATACATCAATATATTTGAGCGCATTTTCTTTAAAATATACGGAAGGAATTAATCAAACATAGTAATTTCTATTTAATTTTAAGAAAAAGATTGCAAGATTCTAAGAAAAGCTTTAAAGATATAACATAAAAAATATAAAAATTGAAGAAAGTCTCAAAGAAGATAAGGATAACGAGAGATTTTTTTGAAAGAGAATTTTTATCTTTCAAATATATAACATATTTAGAAATGTTAAAAAGAAAAACATATAATATATAATTTAAAAATTAACTTTGACAAGTCTTAAATGTATGCACATGATTAAATTCTTAAACATCTATAATGTACACACACTCATGAAATCGGAAGATTATTTGTATCATGCGAATATTTCACCTTTACCACTTGTAAGTGACGAACCGTAATTGACTTGAAATTCTGAAAAATTAAAAAGTCATTAATAGAAAAATATACGTGATATAAATTTACACTTTATTTCTTATATTATATTACACTATAGACAGGCTTTTTTCATTCGCGTACGTATCTATCCTTTGGAAAATGGCAGTAGTGCTCAAACGTACATATAGACCCAAAAAAGATGGCAGTAAATTCAGCTAATGTCGGATATTCGTAAGTAGCGCTTAACGACTATAACGCGTACGTAATCAGATGTAGTAGTTGCGGATCATCATCGAAAGCGAGAGAAGAGAAGTGTGAATCGGATTGAAATAATAATTAACATAATAATTCTGCTTTCAATAAAGCTCAATATTTGCACCTTATTAGCGACATAAAGTTCTTCTATAATTTGCTACGCACTTTAGTTATACGAAAAATAGATGGATTGAAAGAAAATTACAAAGAAATTCGTTTTTCTAAATTAAATTGCTAATTTAGATCGATATTTATAAAGCTATATGCATTGCTTTTTTTCTGTTCTTTTTCATTTTTAATGTATTAATCTCGTGAGGAATTTTTCTTGTTTGAAATTCGTTAACAGTCCAAAAAACTGTTATTTTAGCATAACAAATTTCCATCCTAATCTTACAGATATTTTTTTTTTATTTGCACTTAATTCTGCTAAGTAATCTTTATTGTCTACGATATTTCTTTTTTCATTATTATTATACATACTGGATGTTCATCACTTGTTCTGCATATCGTACAAAATCAGTTATTCATTCATTTTCATTTTGCTTTAGAACTATACGTAAAAATCAATGATTTATTATAATAAAATTCTAATCTATAAAGTTTATATCCGATCCACGCTTCGCTATTGCATGTCTTTCTTTACGACGAAATAGCTATATGTTCTTGAAATACTAAATGTTCGCTAGATTCTTCTTGGCATATCGTCTACACATAATACGGTATCTTCCTTCCGACTCTTGTCTCGGGAATTATTTAGAGATTGTTGCCGCAAATTGTGTATTCGAATTTCCAACAAGTTCTCAAGCAAATGCCTTACTTTTCGTACTGCCGCATAAATGAATAAATTTTTTGGGTCTTTTTATATCATATATAAGGTTACACAATGACAAAGCACACTGAGACACTGCGCCAATCCAATAGAAAAACAATATCGTCGTTATTGTATCGTTAATATTCACATGTCAAATGGACCGCAGGGATAGATTCCTCTGTTTGTCCTCGCGACGATTTTTCATTTTCTTCTTCATTTTTCGTTCCCCTAAAATTCGATCGCTAATAGGTAACAACTCGAAAATTAAGACTTTTTATTGATTACGAGTTTTATTTATAAGCGTAGTATTTCAATTATTCTAAAGGCTATAATCAACCGCGTTAATCGTCACGGAAGATTACGATAAAAAACAATGACGATCGTGAGCGACCGGTGCTTGGAGAAAGACTAAACAATCTACTTTGCGGAGATAATGTTGTACTTTGAATCATCATAAATGTAAATTCTATGCAATTTCCACTTATACAGTATTCTCATGTTTTTTTTTTTTTAAATCAGCTAATTGTCACATTTCTTTAGTTTATTCCGCATATAGTAGATGCAAGTAAAATCTAGATAGCCGTGAGAAATGCCGCAAAAATGACGGTTTAAGCATCTTATAAAAGATTAAAATTTTGGTCTGCACGAAGATATGAAAATTTAAAATCGTCTTTGTTTATATATCGAGATGGTCCCTGCGGGATTTTAAATCGTATTTGCTATATATTATTCCTTTGGAGTTACAAAAACATAAAATTTCGTTTTACTACATTAGATTCAAAATTGATATATATCTCAAATTTCATATTATATTATATATTAACAAAATGCGTTTAACAAGTGCATGGAAATAGAATTCATATGATTTAATAAACGGTACATTTAATGGTTATATTAGCTACTTCTTTTATTAACATTTACGGAAATATTACGAAATAATATAGAATCGCGCGATCATTATTAGTATATAAAGTTTTAATCGGAGTTACTGTAGCAGAGAAGAAGGAAAATGCTTCGAAGCATCCATTACTTAAATCAGTATAGGGCCACCAGTAGTGTGTAAAATACTGGCGTTCGTATGCGTAATAAAAGAACATATATTAATAGATTTACGAGAAATTTACTTATAATTTTTTGCAAGCACAAAGTGCAAAAATAATTGAAGTATATAAGAGACTATGAAAAATAATAATTACAATCATTAAAAAAGATATAATAAATATGATATATACAGACGCAAGTTATATATTTATTATCGAGACTTATAACTCGCATGTGGATTAAATGATATCTATTAATTCCGTAACTCGTGAGATTCATGATTTCTCATAAATGTTAACAACCAAACGCACACATTACAACGTGCTACGCAACCGCAACTCGGTCGTTGATATGCTCATGATATATTGCTCTGACTTATAAAATACGAAAAATAAATAAATAAATACATTGAATAAATAAATAAATAAATAGGTTCTGATTCATATCTAAGCGTTTATGACTAAGCCTTATAAAAAACTTAGAGTTAAGAGAGGAAGGTATATGTGACTCGTGAGATTGACGGACGGATTCGTGCAAAGGAGAACCAGAATTAGGAATATATCACGTATCACGTAAGCGAAAATATGTCGAGCAATCCAGTCTACATTTGTTTGTCCATTCTTTTTACGCTAAAAGTGCTAATTGTTCGGCGATAGATCTTGAAAGAATATCCACGTACGCACTAAATTGAAGTGGTTGTTACAACTCCCACTCTCGTTTGCACGACACCGCACAATTCGCCTGTGTTGCCCATTTCTTGCATAAATATGTGCGCCAGTCGATCTGCACACATGTAAAAAGCAGCAGAATTCGGAAACACGAAAGCTCTCGCCGAGCAATTGATGACTTGCGCGAAGTAACTTGACCCTTAATTGAAAGGACGACATCTTTGCAAACAAGTTTGCTTTCGCTAAATCTGAAAGATACTTTAATCACAATTTTTTTGTTAATATAATCTCTATCGACTCGCACAGCTGAAAGGCAATACGTAAGTTAAGTGACAGAATTATTATGACTTATCGTATGGCGAATTGATTCTTTTTCACTCGGTGTTTTTCTTTCACCAATTGAGAATTAAAAAATAATCCAAAATTTCTAGCATTCAAGGCTTAAAGATGGTCGAGCCTACCGCTTGGCGTATCTAAGACTAAGACATAAAATTCCGTTTAGTTTGAAAAATACTGTACACAAGAATACCTAAGCGTTGACGCTCGTGTTTTTCGCGTTCAGACGAATATCAAAGCTGCGACTACGTACGATGAAATCGATACATTTCTGCCGTCATAAAGAGGAATAAACGTGCCGGACAATGACAAGACTGAATTAGAGATTGGGTTGAAATTGATTTTTTCACTCGATAAAATCCATCCTGCTTCGCTAAAGCGTAAAGCTATTGTATTCACCTCCTTAAAAATCGGAAGAAGCCTTTATTCTTATCCGGTGGTGGTGCCATCAGCATTGGTACTTGATTTTTATGTGTGATGCGAATCTATATCACAGAAATATTTTCATACAATTTGCAACTTGTTAAATAGAAAAATAAGGATATATATATATATATAGATATTGTATAATATTATAAGTTATATATATACAAATCTTTTTATACATTGTATAATATAATAATATAATAAACTCTAAGAGCACAGGAAAATATCTATTTTAAATAACATTTATAATAAAGTTTTATACAGTGCAAAACATCTTTTGATAAAAATTCAAGATAAATTTATATGTTTAACATAAGGAATTTAATGAAAATTCCTGAAAACACATTTCTGTTCCGTTCTCTTTAACTAAATGTCCGGTCAAACTTTTATCGATGAAAAAAAATCTTGCTAAAATATACGTTCCATCTATTATTACCATATTCAAATATTTCATTATTTCGTTTCAGCTCACCGTACAAGGACCTTGCATCCAAGGTTCTCCATCGATCTGCATGGGGAATCGTTTGCTTGTAATGATGGTGACGCTGCTGCATTGAGCTAGTCTTCTACCGGAATGTCGCAATCCAGTCTTCACCTGACCCATATGCAAGCAGTTTTCCAAACCGATTACTTCTATGAGATTGTCCCCGATATCTGCCGAGAATGAGTAAGTATTACATAGTATAACATTGAAGAAGGTGATTCTTCTAATACTAATATATTCTATTTCTGCTTGTGACATTTTATGCGCGAACGAGAGGCAAAAGTATATTTATTAGATTGTTCGCGCAAAACCGATTATTTCTCTCTCTTGTGCGTTGAATAAATAACTCACCTTGAATCGCGGCGGTGAGATCTACAGAATTGAAGCTACTGGTACTAAGTTCTTTGTCCGGACGCTTTTTTCGTTTACCAAGACGATGCCGCGTGTGATGTTCACCCCAAAGATTCGAACCCCCGTGAGTGAAAGGAATGTTTAGTAATGCGACTCCTTGCAAAGATGGCCCGTGTGCCAAATCTAGAGGTGTACCGTCGCACTGCAATTGATGAAATGTAACGTCACAAATTCCATTGATTCCGTTAAATTGATCGAGTAATTACGAATTCGTCTATTACGTATTCGAAGTTAGTATAGAACAGATACGGTAGGTTAATTTATATATTTGAATATAGAGTATTCAATATTCTATATTCGATGTAGTAATACAGAGTTATTAACTGAAAGGAAAGATTATTAACTTATGCTTACGATTATTTCGAGATCCTCGTGAAGATTTTTGCAACTAGCAGCAAACTGCTCCGTAGTTGCGTATTCAAAATACCATAGCTTATTTTTCATTCTGCTATTAAATTTCTCGGGATTTTTCTCCCTCTCCATATGGAACTTTACGCAAATGGCAGCATCGACGCCCACTGAGAAATAATTATTAATGATATTGTACGGTATACTGTCTTGATTCGGTTTCTTCTCCTCCGTTTGATCCAAAACTTCTATTTGCCAGCGATCCATCATCACCTGCGTCGCCTTTTCTATTTTCTGCAAACCGTTTAGATTTCGTGTAGTGAATTCTTACAGTAATCTGATATGGCGCATTAAATAAGTCAAATATATTTTACAATATGTAAAAAAAATAATAAGAAGAATAATTTTTTACACAATTAAAATATTAAGCAAATCATATAGCTTATTTTACCTTAAGCACTTTGTGCACTGCTTCTCCTTCGTAACCACCACCCCAGCGTAAGCATCTTGCAAGATCATTTCCCGTGCCGAGAGGTATAACGCCAACGGCAGGTTGGTTTTCAAATTGCACACGATCTGCATTAAACAGTTGCAAAAGCAATGATTATAATGCGCGGTTGCCATTAAACATTAAATGAACGTTAATGATTTATTAAGGCACCATCGACATAATAAACTTATTTTTCGTAATCGGTTAATCAAAGTCTATTAAATTCCATTTCTAATTGATATGGTATTCGACGAAGTAATTTATTACTGGATTTAATTCGTGCAATTAATATCTAGCACAGAATATCACAAAATTTGTTAAAAAGCACCGCTATTATTCGCGTTTTCTACAAATTTCAATAGCAGTTCTATTCGTTTCATTCGTGTTTTTCGACAAATTTAATTAAATAGCTTAAATAAAATAATATTTAATAAAACAAATATTTTTAATATTTAATAAAACAATATCTTTTCTTTATAAAATAATAATAAATATTAAATACTTATTGTAATTAAATCACGATGCATACCCATCGTTTCTAAAACCCAGCCGACTGTTCCATCGCCGCCGCAACAGATCACTTTAAAATTCTCCACATCTTTGAACATTTGCAAACCCTGCATAGGTCCACCAATCGCTAGATTATGGACTTGTCGAGGGTTCAAAATGTATTGAAATTTTCGTAGCATTCGCTCTCCTTGTCGACCACCCGATTTTGGATTTATGAATACCAAGAGTGGCACTATGTCTTCCGGTGGTGTAATTTGAAAAGACATAGCTGGTTGTTGATTAGACGAACTACCGCAGCTTAGGAAACCACCCTGTTAGGTTCATTGCATTTACTCATGTGTTGCAGAATGTTTATTTTATTATTGTCCCATTAAATTTTGTTATTTTCTTTAAGCACTTTTCTTAATATTACTTTCTCCAAATAATGCATTTTATTAATTAAAAATTCTCTGCTGCGTTTTAAAATTGAAATATCTTTTACAAAAGAGTTAAACAAATTATAATTTCTCTACTAATTAAACGTATAAGCAGAGAATTAAACTAATTAAACATATAAGCAGACTTCTCTGCTTTAGTATTTGATATACATATATTCTTTCCTTTGCGAAAAGGAAAGACATGTAATGATAAAAGACAATTAATGCGGATTATTATATCGCACTTACGGAACTGACCGATGAGGTGTCTTGACCGTGTTTGCTACCTCGTTTGCTGTCCCTTGACAACGATCTTTGTCTATCCAACACAACGGGACAAATCGCTGTAGGTGGAAGGATGTGTACCGCATGCTCGCCGAGCGTACATTCCGCTCGTACTTGCGATGCGCATCTATTATGTAACTGCAATATTCCCATAGAAATATCCATACAGATAGTTATAGGTGTTCTTATGCATTGTCGCTTTAATTAATAAAAATCTCATATCTATAACATTCTAATGCTCGTGTAATATCTAAATTAAAATATTTTTACTTGTATTATTCAATTATTTAATTATATATAGAAGAACTTATTTAAAAAGATATGAACGCGTGTATCATACGATATTTCTACTGACATTACGTTATATTATATATGTCGATACGTCTCGCATGTGTAATTTATAATCTTATTAAACTACCAAGATAAAGAACCGTTGCATTGATCGCGTGTATCATACGATATTTCTACTGACATTACGTTATATTATATATGTCGATACGTCTCGCGTGTGTAATTTATAATCTTATTAAACTACCAAATCCCATATCGCTTATTAAAAAATGTGTATAAACCGCGTGATATATTAACAATAAAATATATCGATCATCCTCCTGCTTTGAAGGATGTCATAGTATATCGAGAACTATACGTGCGGTTTTAATATACCTTTAATTAAAAACTCATATCTCTTTTGGTCGCTTATTTGCTGTAAATCCGAATGAAAGCAGCGACTTCGCTGCATTTTTATTAACATCCGTTTTTTCCACGATTCCGCTATCGGCGCCGTGAATATTTATCAGCGCACAATTTGTACACCGTGATACGAATGATTTATTCAACATGGAACTCATTACGTCGAACGTCGTTTTCCCGACATCCTTCTCGGCCGCAATTTCATGTCGACGCGTAAATCGCGCCCCCGCTGTATATCGTATATATGCACCCATTAATGCAATATGCACGCGTATCTAATCCCTCCTGAATGATGAATGCATTGAACACTTGACGTCACAATCAATCCACCATATAAAATGCTTATTTGGTTCTCTCGAAATTATATTACGGTATAAATAAATAAATAAATAAAATAAAATAAAGGAAATTTTTACATTTAATTATATTTTTTAATTTCTCCATAATATTAATATTAATGTTTATTTATTGGTATTCTGTCAATTAGAAAAGATTAAGAAGTACTGCGTTATATTACATTGCCGAATATAATATAACACATCGATTATATATATTGTAAGCAATTATTAATATATGTACATTGCAATCAGAGATAATATTAACGGGTCAACAAATTCCATTGTTATACACATAAAATAACATTAGTCAATTTATCCATAGTTTTTTGATCTCTCAATTGCCAAGAGGTCAATGATGCGCGTCACTAAAGCAACGGAAATTACACTCATTCCACACAGTTCACATTGTAACGGATCGCAGAGGGTACATGTCAATTGACGTGCCTATTATGGGTGCGGCCAACAGAGAGTATGGAACAAGTATTTATCTCTTCTATTAATATCACAACTAGAGCTATTCTATACCGCTATTGTTACTTAAGCAGAAAAGGTCAATTTATTTTTGCCGAGGAAAAGTCAGTTTTGCTGATATCTCTAAATTGAAATCAAAATTATTTTTACAAATAATTAGCGATAATATTTTTATCATGCGTTATTTATCTATTCTTTGTAATTATTTCAATATTGCGCGATGACACGACATTTATTCGATTTCTATCACAACAATATTATTATATCTGACAATTAACAAATATTTTCATTTTATGCAAGCGACATTGTTAAATATTGTATTACGCGCACGTGTCGTATTCGCGTTAATAGATAACGACACTTTTTACTCACGTTTGTGTCAAGGACACCGTTTCCATCCGTATCATATAGCCGGAACATGACTGAAAAAAAGAAAGCACACGTCACCGAGTTAACGCAAGCCGAAATTGCCGTGCAACAAGTTGCAGCTGCACTACAAGTTTAAGCGAGATAGACTTGTAACAACTGTGGTAGAAAATTGAGGATGACTGCCGGCCGGCACGCGAGTCTCCTCATAAATTCTGTTTGTCATTCTCATTTTTTCTCATATAGATTCCTCATTTTTTCTCTAAAGGCCAAATATCCGATTAGCATAAAAACAGTTACATTCTTTTAAAATTGTTTGTTCGAAAAAAAACCATATATACGGAAAAAAGTTTCTTTTTAAAATTTTTATCTTTTAATACATTATTTTAATATTTTACAAGTGAGGTCTTTTGATATCTTTTCAAAGATGCATATATTGAAAAAATTTATCTTTCGCGATTATTTAAGAAAAGCAAGTATGCAATTTTTATAGAAAGATTAAACGTTGAACGTTCAAGCTTAATGATACACATGATGATATTATATTTAAATCGGGCACGAACTTATGCAATCACCTGATATAATATAATTAAATGCACAGTCTGTAAAATCTCTTTATATATAATCAATAAATTTATATATATTTTATAATGTTTGACTTTTAAACCATATATTTAGAATATTCTTCTATTTTTCATATATTGCCACAAATATATTTTAGTTTTGGATAATGAATATAATTAATTAAAACGATATGATATGATAGATGCTTATCGCGTTGTATTCTGTGTTAGTATCACTTTGATTATACTCACGGTTAATTGGCACCATCTGCAGTGTAAACCAGTGATGCCGTTGTAACTTTTGATCGTCTTTCTGCACTTGGAACATTTGCCGTGGCAATTACCTTCGACCCAATGATGAACCATTGTTTGGGACGTCTTTTTGCTCTTGACATAAGTGGCTATACAGGAGGCAGGCGCTCTTTGCACGCATCTCTCGTGTACTGTGTATTTACAAACTGAATCCGAAAAAGAGAACCTTGTCATTTAATAACGATTGTATGTATTCGTTGATTTTGTTGCGTTATGCGCACAAAACATGTACTTGTATAATATCCTTTCTTTATAGAGATACTGATTGCATTTCTCGCACAATTCCGTTTTACGCTAGCATCGCGAAATAGAAGAAATATCAGGGATTTCTTATACTCACAGACGCAACAAAGTCCTTTCTTGCCGAGACCAACCAGCATATTTAGACAAAGATTGCAATACGCCGGTTTGCTAAAATGCTTCAATCTCCACAGATGATTCCCATCCTCTTTCACATGGGAATCCAGACCCAGAAGAACCAAGAGAGGGATTGTCGTAAGACCGCCTCGTTTCCATTCTTCCAATGAGACTGTACCATCTGCATCGTAATCAATCTCTATCATCATATCCTGCAGGATCTGGAATAAAATTTTGTTTCCCGTGTATTAATTTCAATTGCAGCAGCTTCGACAAATTTCTTAAATTTTGTTGATATCTTCTCAGAATAGAGAATTATTCGTTGGATTATTAATAGGAAGGCGATTGTTCAGTCTTCAGAATAGTCCGCTAAAAGCGATCTCTTTTCCTGCTTACCGGTTTCAGCTCTGTGACATCCCAACCGAGATATTCCGCGACATTCATCATTTGGTTTACGATGCAGTCCATCTCCTAGAAACACATGATAATAACATTTGTAACAAGGATAAAGAACCGTTGCATTGATCGCGTGTATCATACGATATTTCTACTGACATTACGTTATATTATATAATGCATGTGAAATGTTGCTTGGATGAAGTTCTTCTAAAAACAAACTGGACTTCGTTGCGATTTACATTTTGATTATTCAAGAGACAATTGCGTAACCATTATAGTTTTTTTAATCTCGACCATAGAAAACAACGCGCACCTATTTCAAAGCATTGTTGATCTTCTGCTAATGAATTATTCGGATGAAAGCTCGCGATGTTTCATAAATTTCAAGATGGTCGTTGTCTTTGTGGCAATTACGTACATTCCAGTTTATCCTCCGGTCTGCCGGCTTCCAGGAGAGAGAGATAACAAACGATGTCTTTGAGACTGACTTTAATAGATTGGACATCTATTGTGCTCTGCTTTCTGACAAGATGCCTCATCTCTGCAAAACAGAAATTGATTTTCAACTCAAGTTGATATCATACTAGACAGCTTATACTTGCTGGTCAATGAAATATAAGACAATTTAATATAATACTATCTATAAAATAACGCAAATTGATGTTACAATTCATAAATTAGTTTTAGAGTGCATATTGTTATCTTATATATTCCGATATAAAGAAATATTAGACAATGATAGTTATATTAATTATCCTTAATTTACAACGGAATCCTAATTATATGTATATTTTTCAAATTTTTTAATAATATATATGAATATTTTAATTTATAAGAATTGTTTATAAAAATTATCGTTAATTATCGTTAATTAGATGGTTCCATTCAGTTTCGGTTAAATGCAGTTTTAACTGGGATTTTCTTTGATGTCGCATTTCATGGAAGAGTCGCTATATTTTCGAATGTTAAAGCATCAAGATGTTGAGTGGAAGGGAACTCGCCAGACTTATGATACGACTGATCTGTCCCGTATTTCGCGGAAAATTCGCGATTTATTTGGATATTAAATCGGAACGGAAAATCCAGAGCGATTTCGGCAAGACGATCGAGTAGTATTTTTAGATAAATGTTCGCACAGACTTGAGTAATTGTTCCTAAAAGTCTAAAGTCGAACCTGTTGCTTCGAGCGAGCCAGCGCTGTTATCAATATATATAAGCGATGAATTGGATTTATTATAATAGATTGTTAAAGTGTAGCGGCGACCCGCGAGAGAGAGACAGAGGTCGACGACGCCTAGCCCGTATTTCTGGATCGCCTATTTATATCCGCCGTGTTTAGTTTTGCATGAATCAACGCGGCTCTAACATCGATTGGATCGCCGTGGAAATTTATTCTTGCGTATGGTGCCACGATTTTGAGATTCGATTTGTGTAGTAATTGAATACTAATTTCAATAAATCCGGATTTCGAATAAAAAAGATGCAATCTTTTTGCTTAACTCGCGACAATTGGTATAAGATACACTTTTTGTTTTTATAATACAAAAAATTGTAGTTTTTGACATCTCGTATGAATTCTAAGTTGTAACTTACGCATTAATTCGATAATAATTAATTAAGCATTAATTTTGTCTTGAGACAGGATTCATCAATAGTTGATATTATTCATATATAGATACATCTATATTCCTTGTCTCGAGAGATATATAATTCGGGTGTATTCGAAAATTTTCTATTATTAAGATATTTCTTTAATAGAAAAATTATCATATAATCCCGATAATTCGATTCCTCTGTTCTTATTTTGGACGATGTCGCGTTCTACAGAAGTAATATTTTTGCGCGACGATGAACAAGCTAAAAATAAACTTTCGCACGAGACGATGCGTCGCGCGAACGCAGTCACGCGCTTTATCCACATGCGGGACGTATATTTTTTTTACGTTCAAACAATTCAATTTGTTTCAAGTGAAAACCGTGAAAAAGCATCGGTAACGATACCTGAAAAAATTATAAATCATTTAGCAACGAGGAAACGCGATGTATTGATCGATTGTGTGGAGACTGGCGATTAATCACACTGCACAACATGCAATATTGCACACTGCAATATTGCTAAAGCTCTGAGAAGAGAGAATAAATCTATTAGATTATTCTATTACCATTTTATATATAATTTTTCTATGGTAATATTCATGTTATCTGTAATCTGTACTTTGCGCGGCGAAGAATTTTTTTTTAATGTTGACAATGAATTTTATTAAAATTTATTGGAGATAATTTCAGAACTATACATTAGTTACTATTCAGCGTTACTTTCCATTAGTGAAAGTCCATAATTGTCACGAGGAATGAGAAAATTCAGTAATTTAGACTAATTATCATTTGCGGGCGGTAACATGTTGATTATTTGTTTTAGTTGATATTACACGATGGATTGATAAATTTACCGCACAATACATGAATTAAAAAGATATTTGAAAGAGAAAACTCTTATAAATTTTATTATAAACTAAATGCTCGCGATTATAAAAATTTCCGGAGATAATTTTTCGATTAATTAAGTTTTGATATACATATAAATGCTTTCTTATCTATCTTTTATAATCACATTTATTTTGATTATAAATATATTAGAAGATGAGACCTTATCTTTTTTCCTCTCAAGGCTTATGTATATTTAAGATATTCATCAAATATATTTAAAATAAAGATCAAAATGGAATATATTACTTTTTTCAAAGTTGCAAACTTTATTCAAAATCTTGCAGAAAATTTATTTTAAGTAATCAATACGCTAATGTTCGTGCTACGATTTTATATATGTTACATTTTCGAAAGTTGTGAAACGATCTATCTCACCTTCCTTCAGCTTCACGCCCGACACATTTGGTAACTGCACCATCTTTTTTTTTACCACTACTAATAGCGACGAACGAAGGGAAATGTTCTCGATCACGAATCGGATTACCTAACCTCTTTGTGACCGCGAGACGTAATCAAAACCGAGCATACAATGATTCGACTATCGAATTGCAATCGAGATGTGTCGATGCACAATTAATGATTCAGCTCAGAAAAGCACTTGTTGCTTCTCTTACGACGCGAGAATCACTGAAAGTGTGGCCTCCGTCAAGAAACTGATATCATTCCCTCGCGTATTCATGACGTCATTTTACCGGCTGATATACCGATATAGCTATTTCAGTGGAACCGGCACGCGTACATACACGCACTACGCAAACTCGCACATATGTCACGCGAATTATCTGAAATGCGCGCTGCCTCGATGCCATCTGCGATCGATATGGTAGCTCATTAATGGTAGTAGCTCATTAATTATAGGAGCATAAAATGAAAACGAATTGGCTCCGATCCTTATAGCGGCATTTTCCTACGCTTTCCGTATTTAAATTAGCACATAACTATCAGAGTTTTTAAGCAAAAATATATAGAAAATTTAATTGTGTGATACAAAAGACAAAGAGAGAGGGAGAGAGAGAGAATAAAAGTATAGAAAATGGAAGCAGAGATTTCGAATGAAACAAAATTCCGTATTCGTCAATTGAAATAATTTTTCTAATCTATTCTCCTATAGTTTCTTGCATCATGTATAATGTATATGCATTTTACGTTTTTTTTTTATTGCGAAGAAAAGCACCTGAGGGCGAATATTCACTTTTTGATTCGTGAAAAACGAGATCGAGTCTAAAGCTGAACTTAGCAACTTTAAAATGGCTCGAGAACACTATAGCGCTATCGGAAAATTTCTATGAATATTATATATTTTCGGATCATATATTTGATATTTCCCTTTCATTTTTCATGAGTCACGTATACCAAAAGACGGTCGGAAAGCTTTAACTTGGCATTTCATTACTTCTGATGATATGTATTTGATGTGGAAGCGCACATGTTTCACGAGAAGACGATAAGATCAGACTAGTTCTTCAAACAAACCCGGAAATAGAACCGGATCGAGTTTTCTCAATCGTATACACAGCCTTCCGTACGTCATGACATTTCGTAAAGATCAACGCATCTCTCGTCTCATGGCGCATGTAGATATTGTCGTCTAAAATCAGAATTTAAAATAGCGATATCCATTTCCTATACCTCCGGGAAGGCGCAAGTTTATGCGCGGCGATCTCGCGCAGAGACGTGAATAAACATTTCCCTTAAATCCATAACGTAAGCACGATTATTTCCGTCACTTACCGGTGCGTCTTCATTTAGAGCAGACATAAACACTGTATGTTGATGTCTCGCGTGAGTAATTTGAATCGATTGCGTTTTACATGTCATGCGAGCTGGAAAATTGCCGATTTGGATTTTTTCGCTGATGAAATTAGCGAATTTTACGTGAAATTCTAATCAAATTAATCACTAAACGATAACATTCTCTATAACAGAATATACACATTTTAAAATACTCCTAATATTTTAAGTTATCCAATATCGAATAAAATACATGACATGTTCTATATAGATAAAAATAACACAAAATGCTATAGAAAAATTCACGGAAACGCATAATGAAGCAAAGAGATGGCTGTGTCGATATCATAAAAACGATATAAAGGATGGTATATATGCGCACGGTATTGTGGTCATATTTTTTCGATTACGTTGACTGCCGCCTCGATATGGTGAAGTATACTGAAAGAGATGTCACGTCCCTCCAAGCCCGTAATTCACCCAGTATTTACGATCTCAGGCTTTGTTTGAGAGTAACGCGTCACTGTAAGATCGATGGCGACCGAAATGGACCCTTTGTCATACTGCTGTAATATGATCTCTTCAAGTAAAAATAAATTCGAGTACCGAATTTCACGGTATGCGAATTCATGCCGGAATAGAAATCTTTTAAGCGAGATGATCTATTATCCTTTCTACTTCCTTAATCCCATAACGTAAAATCATATAATTCGAATAACTTTAATGCAAAATATTCAGGAGGAGCTTTTGATCACGCAGAATCGATTTTTCATCGAGAGCTTCTGAATATAAGCTCCCCAATACTTAAAGTAAGAAGAGAGAAAAACGGATGGATTATACTTAAGAAAGCGAGCAAAAGCTCGTTTAAAAAGAATCACGTTAGTCTATAGTGAGGAATTTCTGAGTTAACGAATGAAAAATGGATGAAAAATGTGTAACGGAACAATTAAACGTATATAATGTATATATAAAAATTGAACGAGTATGTGCGAGCAGAAAAGCTTGCAATAATCTCAATGGTGAAACACATGGTTCCGCGTTTGCGAACACAGTACATTGAATAGTAGGATAGATGTCCCAATTACTGCCAGTGTCCCTATAACTGCCGTTTTATATATTTTACTTAATAAAAAATAAATTTGTAAACAAACACGACCAAAAAAAATTTTGTTATTAGATCAATACTTTAATTTATATAAAAAAATGACATATATTTGTTTTTACTTAGTATTTAAAAATTAATGTTAAAAACTGAACATTAAGTTTGAATATTAAAAGTGCGACTACGTAAATAAAAGGCAATGCAAAAGTCGTACTAAAGAAAGAGCAATAATTTTATTATATAACCTATACATTGATTATGTAAAATGAATTAATGAGCTATATGAGAATTATTTTAATGAAATAATATGTGAAATAAGTGATATTTTATGTTAAATTATTATAATTAACGCTGACAGCAATAGGAGCAATATTTTCTGGTTTGTCCGTCGGACTGCCGACAGTATTCGGAGCAAGAAACACGTCACAAGTGCGCATAACTGACACTTACCTGCAGATAACTTTAATCTCTTTTCGGGCGCAACGAGACTGGCAATGATCTGGTCACAGTCAAAGGGACTGGCAATTATCGGGTGTCAGTCATATGGACATTTTTTTTTAAATGACAATCATAGGGACATCGCAGATTTCTATAGATTTTTATTTATTATTAATTTGAGTATTTATATGTAATGCATAATAATTTTTTTTATAATAATACAAATATTAAGTAACATTATGATTCAAAGTGAGGCATTTTTTAGTTTTAGCAACACCCAAAACGGTTAAATGAAGATAGGCTATAAGCTTAAGGTGGCAGTAATTGGGACATCTACCCTATTGTTCAATATACCATTTGCATTGGATTCAGCGCGATTTGGATCTCGTGCGCCTACCTTCCAATTTCCCGTTGTTGACGAGGAGGGAATTGTTCGACTTCCTGGACGAATTTCGCGACATTTGGCTGTGACTTGGACTGCTATCTGTGCTCTTCTTCTCTAGCACATCGTAACAGCTGTATGACGTATGGGTGACCGTTAACATCGGATGCACGCTTCCTGAATCGTCCATTGCGTGATTGCGTGAAAACAAGAAAAACAAACAGCATGATCGATCGGTTTCGCAAGTTGATCTTGCTTCTATATGAAGCGAGACCTCCTCGCCGTGCCATGCTTTGAAAGATTCATTGGCTAAATATTCGATGGTTCGCACATCTAATGTACTCGGAGAGGCTATACTCTGAAAATATTCAGAGATGAAAAATATATGTGTGTATAAAATTTGTTCAAGTATATTTAAAAGAATACAAGTTTTTTATAGCATTTCTAAATCAATTTAAAAAAAAAATCACAAGTCGATATTTACAATCAAAGCGATTTTATTTTATCGAATAATGCCGCCAGCGGTTACCGGAATCTTCATTCAAAGCTTCTTCAGGTCAGATCGATTGTTATTCATTCGCCATTCCGAAGCGAACAATAGCATTCATTTATATGATGCGAAATAAAAAAATTTAAGTCATCAGAGATCTCATTTGTTTGCCTATTGCTGACCTATTTTATCCAATCGCAGGAGTATACGTTTACCATAAAAATACAACCGGAGAAACAAAAATTTTGTCGACATAGAGAGACAAAATATTTGCATTAAAATGATATCAATATTGTGACTATTTTGAATTATTTTTTATTTTTCAACAACGTATATTGTTTGTTAGACCTATTATATATAATTTAATTTCATTGCCTATAGAAAAAATTTTTAGCTAATATTTTGCAAGCAATAATACTAATAAAATTATAGCTTACTTTTCCTTTTAAAAGGATTCTTTCGCATTACTGCACTATAATAAACTGATATAATTTAACTGTCATAAAAGATTAACTGTCAGTATAAAATAACAGCACCAAATATATTTTTTACCGGTTCGCGTCCTAGAGACTTCGTTCTCCATTCTGTGATGACCCAGTGCTTGCAATTTTTCCGTAATTCCGTGTATTTTGTCAGCCAACGTAGATCCACTGTGGATCTCCGCGGAAGTTCCGCCGGGTATGCCAGTGCTATTAACGTTACTGCTGGAAGTCGTATGCGATGTAATTGCGGCACAGGCGGTTGTCGAAGAGAGCACAGCCATCTCCTGGAAAGCAACAAACGCGGATAATACGCGGCTTTTAATTCTTGGCGCACTCGTTTGCGTGAGTATCTCTTCTTGCCACGTTTTATGCCAAAAGCGCGCTTGTATGAGGCGATATGCTTTTTTCGTTCCAACGTAATATTATTGCGTCTGCAATGTGCGCCTCGTGCTATACTAATACTACTTCGTTTCAAACTCTTTCTTTTCTTCGCGTCTACAATTTGTGCTCGCGACTGCTTAATTACTCACATCAATAAACGAGACACCTTGTTTGTAACATTGATAACACCACCAATTTTTATCAATCTAGAAATGCAATATCATACTTTGAAAGCTTTGCCGTCCACTCCGCGCGAGTCTCTCCTGACGAACGAAAGGAAAAGATGTCGGCACAATTCATCCGGTGTATCGATCTCCAGGTACGAATTCAGGAACTTGCGAAAACCCTCGTAATCGATGTCCTGAAATAGCAAATGCAATAAAGAATTTCTTGAAAAAAAAGAGAAATGTTATATGCTAAATTAAAAACATAGTACAAAATTGTCGAAATATTATATTTACATACGATTATTTTAAGATAATTTTCCCACAGCAAAAATATCGAGGCACCAATAATTTCCGTGTTGTAAGCGATTAAAAAAGAAGGGTTTTTTACAAACTAAACTTTATAGAAAGTTAAAATTACATTCTTTAATTAATTTCAGATAGAGTTTACTTTAATAGAGAAAGAGAATTTTAATTTAAGATTTATTGTTAGTTACAAAAATATATGATGGAAAAAATTGGAAACTTGCAAAAGATAATGACCTCTTTCGATATTTTCGCTGAGGAAAAATTGTCTCCAAATGATCTCAAGAATTTACCCTTAAGCTTTGTTACGACCCATATTAACCTTGCACCTCCACCACGAAAAATCGGGTTCGGCTATAGTGCATAATTAAGTGTTAATTTGTTGCTAATTTACGTTCGTACAAGAGTAAAGTACATGAACGCAATTAGTTGCTGTAATGATTTTGGTCTTAAAATGTTTCTCTAATTTGTTGCTCTCAAAATATATAATATCGAATTGATTGCTCAACGTTTGACTTAGAAAAATCCATCGAACGTGTTGCCGGTGCTAGCTTACCTACACGATTTTTCTAAGTTAAACGTTAGCTTAGAGCAATAAATTAGAGAAATATTTTTAGACCAAAATCATAACAGCAACTAATTGCGTTCATGTACTTTACTCTTGTAAGCAAGCTAGCGCAGCCACTCTTTCGGGTCGATTTTTCTAAGTTAAATGTAAGCTAGCACCGCCACTCGTTCGGGTCGATTTTTCTAATTAAACTGCAAGCAATAAATTCAGAGAGCATTTAATGCAGAATACAATATTATAACAAATTAATATTGATATAAGTGTTTTTCGGAAGTGGGGATGCTAGCTTAATGGCAAGTCAGCACCCCCATCTTTAATATCATTTTCCTGTTAATGAGTAGGAGCAATAAATTCGAATCGAACTTAGAGCAATAAATTAGCAACAAATTAGCACTTAATTAAGCACTATAGCCGAACCCGATTTTTCGTGGTGGGGGTGCCAGGTTAATAGGGGTTTTGTTACGGTCTTTACGAAACACCCTGTATATATGTATATTAGGATGGTCGTTAAAAAAAAGATTATCGCTGCCGCCCCCTAAAAGAGTAGTAATTGATAAAAAAAAAGTTCTGTGAAACCACAAGTCTGTAAATTAAAGTGAACAAGTGTTTCTTGAAAAGAGAAGTTTGAAAGACATTTTTTTTGCTTTGTTAATTAGCTGTATCAGCAGTTAAGAAAATTTTTTTTTGCGTTGCGACAAAACAATCGAATTTTAATGAATTTTTTTATCGATCATACAAAAAAAATTTCATATATACTTTGACGTTTCATTATTCATATAATCATCGATATATCACACAGATTTGTTTGATAATCATGACAAAACTGATACGCTGAATATATTGGATAACTTGATATATATATTTTTAATCGTATATTTAGGAAAAACAGTTTTATTCAGATATATGACAAATATACATCTATACCATTAGGAATAATTGTCGGATTAAAAATTAAATGGGTCAACAATCGAATTTCTGTGTGTTTTCTCACCTTTTCACAGTCGATAGTCACAGTAATAGAAAGTAATTCTGTCACGACTATTACACAAAAGAAAAGCTGCCGTTAATTGATCCGGTATACGGGAGCTCTCTCTCTCTCTCTCTCTCTCTCTCTCTCTCTCTCTTTCTCGCATGTTCATTTCGATTTTGTCCGATTCAAGTGAATTTCATTCAACGGAAGATTAAAGCCCAACGAAATGTGTCGCTTCTGCCGATACAATAAATCGGCAAGATGCGCATTTCGCAAATTGACTGATTACAATTACACCCGGCAACACGCATTTGGATTCCGCATGTTCTCGATGGATCAATAGCATTTAATGCAATTAATTATGCTCTGTTGATTGCTATTCACGGAATTCATTTCGCATGCTTAAGCCGTGTCTCTCAAGTGAAAAGCCTTTCTACAGAAACTATCCGAGGCTTTCGAACAGCGTTTGCATTCGCCGAATTCATTCGCCAAAGTGCAAAGCTACACAGATAATTTCTAAAAAGAAGAAACTTGTCTCTAAAGAATTGTGATTAACCCTAATCAACAATGAAATAATTGAATAAACTATGAGTAATATAAAATAATTTCTTTGTTATTGAATATTTCTTTTGGGAGTGTAGGATACATGTGTCTCGCGTATCTAAAAAAAGCAA